ATTTATTTATTTGTTTGTTTGTTTGTTTATTTATTTATTAAGTATACAGTATTCTGTCTGTGTGTATGCCTGCAGGCCAGAAGAGGGCACCAGACCTCATTACAGATGTTTGTGTGCTGGGAATTGAACTCAGGACCTTTGGAAGAGCAGACAGTGCTCTTAACCTCTGAGCCATCTCTCCAGCCCCTCTAGAGAACATCTTATTTGGAAAGCTTAACGCATGATTCAGAGGAAAGCGTCTGCAACCTGACTCCTTCCCAGTTTTGCCAGTGAGCCCTATGCTGTAATATTCAGGGAGGTGGGAAGGAAGCAGTGATATTTACAGAATCGCTGAAAGCTAAAATTCACTGTCTGGGTGGACACGAATCAAAGGCTGCTTCTTCATTTCTTAACGTCTTGTAAATCTCTCTGACTCTGGTGTAAACCTCAAAGAGGAAGCACAGTTTAGTAATGGCTAAGGTGGAATTTCCCATAGCTCAACATGTGGTCTGGAAGCTGTAGTTGGTGGAGAAAATGCGACAGTATTTTGTGTGTGTGTGTGTGTGTGTGTGTGTGTGTGTGTGTGTGATGCTCTCAACAGAAACGGATGCCACCATGTAGATTGCAATGAATTTAATGGATCTGTGAATTATTAGTAACTGGGAAGGGTGTCGGAGAAATGGCTCAGGGATTAAGAGCACTGCCTGCTCTTCCAGAGGACTTGGGTTCAATTCCCAGCACCTGCATGGTGGCTCACAACCATCTGTAACTCTAATTCTAGAGGATCTGACTTTACTGAGGCACCAGGCCCACAGTGTACAGACATACATGCAGGCGAAACACCCGCACACGTAAGAAAAAAATAACTTTTAAAAGCTTCTCCTGGTGAGGGAACCCCACTGAAAATCTTTTTGATGAGTAAGGCTTTCGCCGTGACTGGAAATCCACATGAGCACACCCACGACCGTCAGCGCAGGAGGAGTGAGTCACTGTTGATACCGTGCTCCTCCTGTTTTTACTGCAGCGCACAGAAAGGCTCCTAAGAGGTTCTCTTCGAAAGGGAAAATAAGTTAAAACTTAGGATCTTTAAAAACTTTCAGCTCAAACACAAATATCCGAGGGGTTCTGAAATGAACTCTCATAGCTGTTGAACTGTACCATCCTTACTCCGTTCCAACGATTAACATGTCCACTCAAAAATAATTATACTAACTCATGCGAGTGCCCTCAAGAACATCCTTTCCGGGGTGAAGGTGGGAGCTAGCCCTAAATTTCCAACCCTAACTCCCAGTTGCATCATTTCTTAGTATCTTGGAGATAGGATCAGAAATTTTAGGATAATTCTGAAATGAATTCTCTAAGAAGGATATATACAAGTTGATCCAAATATCCAAGAACTTTAAAATACTGAGATATGGGAAATATCTTCATGGCACCAGAAAGAACATTTTCTTGATTATGTTGAGCTTGAACTAGAGCACATTTCCTAACTAATAAAGCATATATCTTTATTTGAAGGTTGAAACTGAACAATATGGAGGCTCTTGTTTACTCATCTATTTGTAGTGTACATACGTTTTGCTTGTGTGCATGAATGTGTGTGTGTAAGAGATATCTGTGTGGCATATGTAAGTGTGCACATCTGTGCATATGTGTATAGAAGCCAGAAGAGGTCTGTCTGGGGGAGGGGTCCTCCTCTATCACTTTCCCTTTATTCTTTTATGGCGTGATCTCCCCCCAATCTGGAGCTTGTGCTTTTCAGCCTGACTGGCTTCAGCAAGCCCCAGGGATCCTCGTGTACCCACGCTCCCTGAAACACTGGATTCCAGGCACGCGTGAAACCACATCTAGCTTGTTGCATGGGTGCTGGGATCCAAACTCAGGTCCTCAGGGTTGTCTATCAAAGGCTATTAATCTCTGAGCCCATCTCTCCAGCCCCTGGTTTGCTTGTTGAACATCTAATTGCAATATCATTTGAAGAACAGTAACCTATTTTGAACGTGCAAATATCCATTGGAGCTTTATGAAAGGCATCAGAAAATTATAAGCAGAAGAGGAACCGACTGCAGGCCATTATACGTTTAATGATATGCAAATGCTGTTAAATGAGATCATGATGGCATTACTGTTCTTTAGGGAAGAATGGATTTAAATAATTCAAAATAACAGATGTCAATTTGCATGTGCTGTGATCTAACAATAATGAATTAAAAATTAAAAACTGCGCATACATTGAATTGCATTTTGAGTTCTACACAATAATTTTATAATAGCAGGTTCACATGCAAACTGCCTACAGGTGAAGTGCCTTACACACGGGGGGGGGGGGGGGAACAAGATCTATCCCTAAATCTTAAACTTATTTACTTTATTTTTATGAGTGGTTTTTTCTGCATGTATGCTTATGTAAGCCAGGTCCTCTGTAAGAGCAACAAGTACTTCTAACCATCAAGCCAGATCTCCAGCTCCTATACCCATAATCTCAGAGAAATTAAACAATTTCATCTATGTTCTCTTACATGTGGAACTCGCTAGTTTTAACTAGCTTGGTAAAAAACATTTCTGAAATGGCATTTGTAGTACAAAGAAAGTCAAAGTACCCACAATTCATAGCCTAGCTTCTTAGAAAACAGAGGATACAGGCCTATCCCTTCTTTTATTTTCTCGTTACAGGAGGTGTTTGCTTGGATAAGAGAAGGCATCATATAGGTCAGGCTTGTTTGTGGGCAATAGAGAACCTGTAAAATTCCGTGGTAGGACACGATTGACCCCTAGTGGTCACAAACAGGACTATTGCCGCTTATCAACAAATGTACTAAGAATCACTTTTGAAAGAGAGGAGAAAAATCTTAACTGCCATATCATTTCCGCCTCTGCCAATATCTGATGTGCTTTTGTGATTTCTAGGTAGTGCTTAAGACCAGGTGCACCCAGATAATGTAACTAGTACTACACAGCTTATCTCAGTGTGCTCCATCTTATTTTATAAGAAGTACCAAGAATGAGATTACAGCGCTCAAATGTCTTAAAAACAACAGCATGAAATGGGCTGGGTTTTATGCTAAGAGGAGAGAATACTTTGAAAATACAGCTGGCTGTCCTAGACACAAAACATTGACTGCTCCTTCCGGTAGTGTCTACTTAAATGAACAACTTACTTAGGACTAAATTTTCCAGAACAGTATAAGAAAAAAAAAATATAGACATTTTCTTAAAACAACCCCTTCTAGGGGAGGAGAGAGGTGGGGGAGAGTGTAGAGGAGCGGAGGGAGGAGAGGCTGTGGCCAGGGTGTATGGCATGAGAGAAGAATAAATAAAGAAAATGTTCATTTCTCTTTATTATTTATTTATTAAGACATGTTACAAAACAAAATTTTGTGTCTTGAGGGAAAAAAGTCTGTGGCTGAAAACATCCCAAAATATACACTGTATATTTTAGTTTTGTTTAATGTGTTGAATAGAAAATAAAACATGGGGAGAAAGACAGAAACAACAACAACAACAACAAAAACCTCTGATTAAAACAAAACAAAACTGATAGTCACTTTCAGTGAGAAAAAGGAAAACAGGAGTAGGGAAGAAAAATATTTAAAATGTTTCCCTCAGCTGCTGACTGCGAAACAAGAAAATTAAATGAACCCAACGTGCGCATAACCTTAGATGTTAAAAAAGATGACTTTGTGTTTTGTTAGTTGGTACTAGACATTATACAAAAGGGCACAAGCTTGTGCTAAATTGGCTTACAGGGATTATTTTTTTCTATCTGTTTTCATGAGATGAAGCAAGTTTGATGGTTTTGTGTCTATGTATAGTTCTGTCTCTGCCAGAATTCTTTTGATTTCATAATGGGTTCCCACATAGACAAGGCTATGATCTCTTATCACAAAGCCTTCTTGGGTCAGCAGTGCTACAGTAACAACTGTTACCATAGCAACTGGGATGGGTTTCACTAGGAGAGAACAGGGCCCTGATCGTGGATAGAGAATGATGAGTATGGGATCGGGTAAAAAGAAGCACCCAGAATGAGAGAGATGATAGAGAAAGCTAAAGAGATGCCCGTGTGCTCTGTATCATGGGTTATATTTGAAATCAAACTCATTCCACTAAAATAAATAAATAATCAGCCTAACAAAGTCGGCAGAGGTAACTGGTGAGTAGTGACTTATTTAATCATTACCCTAAAGGAGAGGCCCCCAGAGTCCTTGGCAGAGAGAAAAGGGATACAAATGCCTCACTTTGCACACAAAGCTTTGCTACAGGGAGATAATGTTTATAATTTGTACAGAACAAAGTGCTACTTTCTATGTCTTTTACAATTCTTTCTTTCCATAAAGATTTCCCAGATAAGGCAGGGAAAGTGGTGACTAAAAAACAAACCACCCAAAACAATGAAAACCAAAACCCCAAAGCAAAGAAACCCCACCTACAGGTAGACTCTTCTCCGGCTTTCCAAAAATGTACATGCTGTTAAAAGATATCATTTTGAATCCGAAAACCAAACAAAAAAGTTGTCTATGCAAGTACATTAAAATGGATGTCTAGCCGTATGTTGATGCCTTCAGTGTGTCTCCTCGGGTGGGGATTGCCCAGGAACTGACACCATTGAGAATTTCCCACAGACCCAGGAAATATGAAGGACCTTGGATTGCCTTAATGTCAGTGTTTAAGCATCTGGAGAGTATAACAGCCGTGCCCAGCTCCAATTGGTTCTCATTGCTGTATTCTCCTCTTAGGGTCCTATGAAGGACCTTCTACTTCTTAGGTGGCTGACCACAGTCCTGATGAGAACAGGTGTAACTAAAAGCAATAAGCAGCTCGTGGCAATGCCCACTGTTCTGCCTACCTGGTGAAGACAGATGTTGTCATGGATCACGGATGTAGCTGCTGACAAAACACCCAGCACAGAAGATAAAAATAAGTTGTTTTTTTCTTTTTCTCTTTCTTTCTTTCTTTCTTTCTATTTGTTTTCTCTTCTTTTCTTTCTTTCTTTCTTTTTTTTTTTTTTTTGAGTCAGGGTTTCTCTGTGTATTTCTGGCTGTCCTAGAACTCACTCTGTAGACCACGCTGTCCTCAAACTCACAGAGATCTGCCTGCTTCTGCCTCCCAGAGTGCTGGGATTAAAGGTGTGTGCCTTCACCTCCTGGCTTAAAGAAGTCTTAAGAGCAGGAGCTACCACGGTTCCTGCATTTTGTAGAAAGCAAGCTTTGGGGAAATCATTGCAAATTTCCCAACAATTGGTCAGTAAGAGAATTGGCTTTATCAAAAAGTACTGAGTAATTAAAGCTAGAAATTTTTTTCCCTCCCGGGAAGACTGTGGGCCTCATGGGAAAAAATCTTAATGAAGAGCTCAGGAAGTCTTTTTTAAAGATTCAAGGGTTAACTCTTCAGTGGGGATTGCATTCAGCTGTGTTCTAAGTCATATGAGAAACCTCCTGGCTTCATCATCGGCCCTGCTCACAGGTTGCTAGCAAGTTTTGATAGTCTGAATTTTGGTAAATTAACTCTACAATCTGCTAAATCAATGTTTTAGTGTTAATTATCTAATTAAAATGTTTCAGTCAGTGGTAGTGCAAGTTTGTGTTTGTTGTGTCTCTTTCAAAACCAACTGAAGAAAAATCCTAAGCAAGTCTCTATAACAGATCAGTAATTACTATCTGAATTTTACTTCCAGAGGTATAAATAGTGATAAAACTCTCATTCCCCATTTTGACCTAAACCCAACAACTATATTAATTTTTCATGCATAAAGAAAGAAATTATTTTAAAAACTCTTTTTAAATTATCGTAAAAGGCTAAGTCAACTCCGGAAATCAAGTCATGATTCTGGGTTCAAGGTCTGGATCTTTGTGGTCTTGAAGTCACTTATTCTACATCTGAATTTTCATATGCATCCAAGATATTATTTCTGGACTTTTTAACCTTTAAATGCATTTTTAGAGACCACCAATAACTTAACCAAAAATTAACTAAGCAGTTCAAATGATTTTTAGCTACTCTTCATTTGAATACTGTGTCTTTAGTCTTAGAACGCAGACAGAATGAACTAACTCTATGACAGCATTTTGAGCAGAAAAATGCAACGCACGGTGCCTGGATATATGGTACCAAGGCAAGGTAGCTTTCTACTGTGTGCACACATCATCCCGGAAGACCAGTGATAAACTACTGACTGCCACATACGCACACATCCTGCTGTGAACATATCAGTCCTTGTGATCATCATGCTTTTGTTTCATGATGTGCAGCTCCAAAGTGGTATAGACACTTGCTAGCTGATCATTTCTGCACAAGGAGAAAGAATGTACAGGAAAGAGAAGAAAGAAGAGGAGCAAAGGGAAAAGTAGGGTAGGAGAGAAACCTTCAAAAATTCTTTGGTTAAAAAAGTGCCTACCCAATGCCTACCTACAGCTAGGCAGATTAATTCCACAATGAAGATTTGAAAGATTATACTGTATCAAGTTATTACATATTCTAATTCAAAAAAGAAGCCTAACCGGGGGGTGGGTTGTCTATAAATATCTATTTGTCTGGATGGAAACTTTTATCAGTTCCAACAATCATATATTCAGCTATAAATAGAAAGAAATCAAGATCAAACTACAAAGTCCATTTTCTTTTACATCCCTCAGTGACTCAGTTCCCAAGTCCATGTAAACTTCATGAAGGTTCTTGAGAACGTTTCTTTCACAACCCCAGGATTGAATGGAAAATCCCAGGATATGGAGTGGCATCGATATTGCCGATGAATTAATTAGAAATAGCATTCAGCAGTTACATTTGTTAGGTACCGGTTTATAGAGATGAGAAGACTGGTGGCTGACAGTATGAAATTCCAAAGACAGAACAACAAGAGCAAAATTATAACCATCAGACAGAATGGCCACTGATTGAAAGACCAACACTCCTACATGCCTCTTAGGGGAGAGAATTTCTACCAACAAGGATGGCGCCAAGTCTTTAGAAAATGGTACATTTTCATACCTTATTTAATGAAAGTCAATGTAGGAGTTGTACAATGTACCTTTAAAATACTTCTACTGGGGTAGAATAAAGTATTCACTCAAAACTCCTGGTCCTCCTCTACCAGATTTACTTTCAAAAATACAGTTTTTATTGTATAATATCATGCAAGTTAACTGGCCTTCATCTTTTATGCTATAATCTCTAATTCTATGGTATCTCTTGTGGACACAGAAATTACTTCCTTTTTTTGTCCTTGTGATCTATTGTGTTTCCTGGTACACAATTTTAATATGTTCCACATATCGGCTCTCCCTGTTTCAGTCACAAAACAATACAGAATTGGATCCGCGACGCAGTTTAGACTTGTCAGAGCCACTGTGATTCGGTACGCCGTGAACGTCTGCTTTCCGGACTTGTTCAAGTTCATATTGCGCTCCAAAATGCAGCGGATGAGCACCATCACATGGAAGGGCGTGAAGCATAGTACGAAAGTCAACGTGATGCCCGCGAGCAGCTTTATGATTCTTCTCTTCTCGCTGCTCTCCGTGGCTTGGTTGTGCTGCACGGCTCGGTAGACTCTATGGTTGCAGATCATGATGGTGACCAAAGGCAGCGCGTAGCCCATGCACGTCCTGAACAGGTTGAGGTCGATCTGCCAGGTCTCCAGTGGGTATTTGTCGTAACACAGGGTGAAGTGCAACTTCTCGGCAGCACAGTATTCAACGCTTGTTTCATCTTTCCACAGGAGGATGGAGTTAAAGATGGACTCCAATATCCAGATAGACAGGCTGCTCATGAAGGCAAATCTTCTCGTTCTCAGAAAGGAAAACTTCAGCGGGTAGACAACTGCTAAATAGCGGTCCAAGGCAATGCAGGTGAGGAACGCCGTGCTGCTGTAGAAGTTCATGTACGTGAAGAAGACACTTCCTTTGCATAAGGCGGGAGAGAACGTCCAGTTGTCTTTATTCCAAGTGTAATTGATCCACAGGGGCAGCGTCAACGCGTACAGCAGATCTGACAGTGACAAACTGAAGAGGTAAATTCCTAGCTCGTTCTCCTTCTTTGCTTGCAGAAAGGATACGCATAAAGAGCCAAGGTTGGCCGGGACGCTGACTATAAACACAAATATGTAGACCACTGGGAACAAATAGCGATCTAGGGCATGCTGTTCTTCAACACACGTGCTGTTCATCGTCATTGTTCGGCAGTGGCAGTTACATCACTTCTTAGGCTGTGAACAGGAAAGGAAGCCTTGCCTCGCTGTTAAGATTTCAATGTTATTTTTTTTTGGCTAGGAGTTTTTCTCTTTTAGATTTTCCTTGGCTTTTGAAGTTCCAATCAATTCACCAATGCATTCGGAGAGTGATTGTAGATCAAATGTTTACGTAGACTGTCACCACCAGAAGTCGGCATCCACGCTCCTGGAGGTGACGTAAAGCAGTGGACTGAGTTTAACAACTAGAAGTCTGCATGCTCAACATCATGGGCTGTTTAGCTTTCTTGAAAGGTCACACACTCTCAGTTTGCCCTTCTGGATCTTACAGGAGATTGGAGACTGGTGCAAATATGAGCGCGTGGGTTTTATTTTCATGCACTCTGGCATTCTCTCCAAAGTGTCCCGCTTCTGTGATGAAAGATGAAGTAGGATAGGTTAGATACTTACAAGCTGCCATGGTTTCCAAGCAGCCATCTTTCGTTTATTGAAAATATCAAATATTTTCAATTGAAAAGCGCTATTTAACTAAAGCGATTAATGAACTTTAGTAAATAAAATCAAATTGAGATGTTTTACCTATTTCAAATAAGAATTTCTCAAAGGAGGCTAGCTCATAGAGAATTATATTTCTCATCAGACAACGCCTAACAATCAGAATGAAAGTTTGTTAAACATTTATAGTCATGTTGGTGGCTAAAAATAGAAAGTTCAGTTATTTGGCTGTGATGAGAAAATGCTTTTTTATTTTTTTTTGCTTTGGAGTGTATGTAAACTCCATGGCTACATGATTTGCAGGTTTCAATTTATTATACAATATCACTATAAGGCACCAAAGTTCATTAAGCTTTAATACACAGTTAGACAGCTTCTCCCCCTCCTCTGTTTCTTATGGAATATATATAGCTCACTGTGCCTCACTTTCATTCCATAAAGGAGGGGACAGGACCACCTCAATTCTGGGAGAAGGTTGTGATGACCGACTTCCATCCTCAGAGCTGCTTAGCTCTGGGGCTCGCTCCTTCGTAAAGTGACGATGACGTAGAGAAATGCTCCTCGTTCCTTTGTTCGTGGGGCCACTTGGCAGTTTGGATGGTTACTGGCTGACTGAGCATGTTTGTAAAACTGTCAAGCTGTACACTCAATTTAAATAGGTTCAGTTGTAAAAATCGATTTAACTGTGTGCTTAGTATATAGTCTTCTTTCTGCATGAATACAATATTGTAAATAAAAGGAGAAGAGGTGGACTCAAACTGCTGTGGTGACTGGGGTAAAAAGCATCTTGACAACATGTTTAGCACGGAGATGGTCCACACAAGTCTTCCTAAGAAATTAATTTACTTCCTTTTTTCTTACATGAAAATTGGTAAAATGGATAAAAAAGCATTTAAACAGTCATGGAAAGATTCACAGAAGGTAAGGGTTTACTAAACAAAAAAAGAGTTCTTGACACCTAGAAGAAACGAACAAATACACATGTAACACAAAATGTGTATTTAATCAGTTTTAAGAAGTAAAAGATGAAATCAGAACACATGAGGAATGAAGAGAAAGCAAAACAGCAGCAGAGGATGATAGCTCTCTCCCGTAATTCCAGTGTTTGGGAAGCTGTGGCTTAGGGATGATGGTGAATTTGCAAACAGCCTGGGCTATAGAATGAAACCCTGACTCAAAAGCAGGGGAAGGGGGAGAGGGATGGAGGAGAGAGAAAATGTTAAGATCTAAATAGCCAGATTTTCTTTTAAAATTAGACGAATTTTTTTTTTAAAAAAGTAATAGTGAAAATTCCTTAGAAGAGGACAATAGTACTTAAAGCTAAAGAGATCAAACAAAATTATCAGTGTAAAAGAAATAGGAAAACATCAAAGATACACAGAGAGTAAACAGAAAAAGTCAATACATGTGCAACTCAAGCTCCAGGAAGGAGGTAAAGGGAGGTCAGTGAAAAGCAGTGTTCACAAACATCGCAGCTGATTGATATCTAGAACTGATCAGGGGCACGGATCCCTCTGACTCGTGAAGCTTAGGAAGGGTCAGATGGGGCAAAGTGAGCTGTTGGTACCCACTGTGCTCAAACTGCAGAAACTAAAAACTAAGGCCAGGGAAGAGAGATGGCTTATGTACAAAGGATACATTTCAGGCTGATAGAACCAGATGACACATTCATGTCTCTGTGTTCCAAGAAAATGGATGTTATCCTATCATTATATTCCCGATGGGATTAAACTGCAAGACCTGAAGCAAAACCTAGACATTTGCAGGTAACTATCACTCGGGAAATCTACTCCTATTTCTTGAGGAACCCTTCAAAGGCTCTCAACGAAGACAGAAAGTGACACTCTGAACCACAGGAAGGACTGCAGAAGCCTGCTAAGGATGGGACTGTCATCAATGCCAGCAAGCACAGCCTTGGGGGGTTCACACATCTGAGGGAAAACACCTAAACTATAAAAGTCTCCTCTCTTGAGACAGGACCAAGAATAGGAGGGTGGGGCAGAGGGGGGGCCTCTTTTTTTTTGTGTGTTGCTAAATAAGTATAGGTCTTTCTCCACAAAAGCACAAGACAGGGAACATTATTTAGGGAGGTTTTAGAGTTCTCAATAAATTCATTTCTTTAGTTATAAACACACTTCCTGCCTTCTGAGAGCCGCCACTTGTCGGGATGGCTAGATGAAGCAGATAGTATCTTATCTGCTCTGCAACAGAGACAGCATGAGCTTGTGCTTGCCTATTTCAAGGCTCTTCCAAGTTTGTTTCCTCCCACCTAAGTTAGTATTGCCTGATAGGGTTGCCTTTCAGGCCAAGAACCTAGCTCACGGAAAGCTGTCTGTTAATGCCAGCAGTTATCTCTCCCTCCTACAGCAAGAGCATCACCGGGTAGCCTAGGGACTTGGTATGTAGGATGCGAAGCATTGCAGGCAGCACCTGTTCATCCAATGGAAGTGCATCCAAAAGTTAATGGGATATAAACAAACCGTATTACTTCTGTATCTTTCCCAATATTATTTATACAGCATTAATGGAATTTTAAGAAATAATTTTCGCCACCCTCATTGAAAATATGGATATCAACTTAAACTTTCGGAAGTGCGCAAAAGACAATTTACAGCCTAGCTCTAAAAATAATCTAAAAAAACAATGACATAGCTCAAAGCAAGCTGTTTGTACACACGGTTCCAGAGGTATTTGCTTTCACCTGTGAGCTTGCTGGCTGCTTACTGGGTCTCCACATGTCTCTGGCACTATGACAGTTACTTATTAACAAACAGTTACAACTGATGCTTACTGACATTGGAAACAAAATTTCCTAACCTCAGGCGATTCCTGATGAATCTAAAAGCTATTCCTAGACCCACTGCCCTGGTGAGGAAATAGAAGTAGGCAGCTATGCCGTAGCCCAGGATGGCAGAGATTCTTCCGGAACCATCCCAGTGTCCCAATAGCTGCATCCGGAAGAGACGGCCGAGCACACACAGTCTCCTTAGCTCTACCCGTTCCTTCTCCTGACTGGTTCTAAGTTTGAGACCTGACATCCCCTTTACCACTCCTCAAAGTAGAGGAAACCATGTGTCTTCCTCATTTCCATCTCACTTACAAGGTTTCGTCTTATATTCACAAAACCCAAACCCAGATAAAAACGCCACGAACACGGCTTGATCGCTATGCCCAGTATGCTATGTACTTTGAACTCTTGTTCTAGCCTTTAGTATCATACTCACCCGTTTCGGGAGTGATGCTTCTCTTGAGCGAGGAGGCTGGAAGATCTGCTTGTATCAAGAAGAGAAACCAGTTGTGTTGTGGGAACAGGAAATTGCACTCATATTTTGTCATAAACCAATGAGGAAGCAGCTTCTTAATGAGAAGGCTTACATTATCTGAGTTCAAACAAAAGGATCCCTTCAGTACTTTAAATGATGTTTGGGTCATTTATTGTGGGGGCAATTTTCTTAACTCATTTTTCTTTGTCTCTTAATTGTCCTTGTATACTTCCATGTATGCTTTTCTCTTTTCCTGTATATGTATGCGTGTGTGGTGTATGCACACGTGTGTGCAGTGCAGGTGTGTCACCTGTGTGCGTATTTTTTGGAAGCCAGAAAAGGATGTCAAGTGACCTGCTTTGTTTTTCTCTCTGCCTTGTTTCTTTGAGTCAGGGTCTCTTATTGATTCTGGAAGTGGACTAGTGGCTAGTAAGCTCCAGCAATCTTCCTGCCGCAGCTCGACCCACTGGGCTGGGGTAACAGGCATGCACATAGCTATTACGCACTGAGATCCCAGCTCAGGTCCTCACGCTGTGCAGCAAGCACTCTTACCCACTCATTCATCTTTCCAGACTCTGATAGTTATGCTTTCCTTAATAGGAGAAGTCACAACTATTCAATCCATTCTTACTATACAGTGACTGTGAGTATCTACATATTACCCAGAAAGGAGCATGCTACCACGAAAGAGATAAACACACAGTTACAACATAGATAAAACAGGAGCATAGATAAACACTTCTAGTAAACTTGAATAAGGCATGTGAGTCACTGGGATGTGTGAGAACGGAGAAGATGTGTAGGGATAAGCCCTCCCCTTGGGGGCGGGCTGCCCTCAGGCGTATGTTTACTGATATAGTGCGCGGGCAGAGGCTGCGCGGGCCCTTCCGCTTGCTCTCCTGTTTCCGCTGGCTACCCCGCTGGAACCTTGGTTTTGTGAGTCTGTTTTGTTATTAAATTTGTTTAAATATCAATTATTGGTGATTTATTGATCCGACCGCTGCAAAGATGCCGTGGAACCTATTTGGGGTGTTTTGGTTCATGGAAATAAAACAAGAGGCAGAGTGGTGGTGGTGAATACTGTGGTTTACTGGCAAAAATGGCTGTGGATATGCATGGGCCAGGAGAGCCACCTTTGTGAATCCCTTCTCCTTCTGGGGTACTAATAGGATTAGATGTGTAGTATTTGATTACAGAAACATTTTCTCTTCTAGTAACCCTCTGAGAATAGAAAACAGTGATGGCTAAAAGCAACCGGAGTGACTGACTCAGGCAAACAGATAACCATGAAATTTGAAAATTTGTTTGTGAGTGATACAGATTATTATTTTTAAAAGCTAATGCAGTACTTTAAGAAGGTGACTCTATACAGTGGTTTAACACAAAATGAAATCAAGTTTCTAGAACATCCTACTTCTGAGAAAAGTTAAGAGATTATTTTTAAGCTCTCCCCCAATAAAATTTACAATTAGAAATGAGGGGAAATTATTTTTGAGTATGGAATAAATTTTTAGTGGAAAATTCTGACTTATTTTTAGGCTCTAGTCAGGATACATTGTCTGGGTTGGTAGATGGAAGAATGGAATTATGGGATACAGCCAATTTTTTTTTTATCTTAGAGTAACTAGGGGATATCAGGAATGTGAAAGCTTTTGAAAGTCTCTTTACATGTCTCTAAGAATAATAAAAATATGCCTGACTTTGGTGGCACACACCTTTAATCCCAGCATTCAGTAGGAAGAGGTAGGCAGATCTCTGAGTTTTGAGACCAGCCTGGCTACAGTTCCAGTGCAATCAGGGATATTCAGAGAAACTATCTCAAAAAAAAAAAAAAAAAACCAAATGAATAATTTAAAATGAATTTGTAAAGCACTCAAGAGTTTGTAAATATCATGCAGCAACCGAAAACCTCAGGGTATATTGTCATTGAGATGATAAAAAGTGTAGGTAAATGTCAAAACTGAATGGCCAAAGGCGTCAGGGGCAGTGCTGGGGGTGGCTGACTCAATGCAGTGCTCCCCTGCATCCATAGGGATCTGAGTTCGATTCTCAGAGCCAATGTCACAAAAGCCCAGTGTGGTGATACACGATTGCAACCCCAATATTAGGAAGGTAGAGACAGGCAGTTCCTGGTTAGGCAAAGTCTGTCTTAAATTTTAAAAAAAGAAGAAAAAAGCAAAGGTTGATGGTGCCCGAGGAGCAGTTTCCAGGATAGCCATCAGAGTGACACACACATCTGCATACATGTACACACATATGTGAATCTGCACACACATACAGATACTTACATGTACCTACACACGCCTACAGAAAAAGGCTTACAATTTACCAAAAAGAAAATAATAATTTCTGTTTAGTCATAACTACAATCCCCAAATTTTTTTTTCTGCTTGGTTTAGCACATTTGCCTAACTATTGTTTTCTATTTCGTGAATCACATCTAATTTTACCTCGATAGACCCTACTTCTGTTTTTAGAGAAAGAGCATTTTCACATCCATGCCAAGTTATCTATGTACTTTACTCTTCAGAAAAAAAAAAGAGGATGTAGTTAGAGAATGTGAAATACAAACTTTCACTTCTGCTTAAGTCAGGAAAATAAATGTTGCTTACTTCACACAAGGAGACCTTCACCAACTTTTATGGATTCTGCATCTTGTTTAGTTAAAAATATGGCAGTATCATATTTTAATTATAGGGATATTTAATATGAATAGTTATATGTTTCAGAGCCCCGAGATGCCGAGGTATTTTAATATAAAGGTCAATGAACAGTTATTGAGAACAGAGAACACTGGCTTTGCAGAGACAGAATTCTTGGCCCGTCAGTTTTCTTGTCTTCTGAGATCACAATGTGGCCAGAGGCAGCACATTGGGCTTGAACTAGGAAACAAGGCAAAAGAATGTGGACCTGCTGGATTAGGACTTCTCCATGGGTAGACAGCAGGGAGGATTATTCTGGTGATGAAGGCTCCTTTTGTTGTTTTGAAGCTGCCTCCTTTGTCTGGTGCTATTCCCAAGAAGAAAAACAGCAAGTAAATAAGGCAGGATCCTGTTTTGACATCCCACTACATATTCTCATCTTTACTTCTTTTTACACATTCAGTTAGTCATTTTGTGTTGGTTGCCTAAAGAGAAAAGATTCTTGGCACCAAGGGATTGAGTTTCAAAAGGGCAAACGAAGGAAAGGATGGGGTTCTAGGCAGCTTGCGGGGAAAGCTGCTGAGATACAGTGAGGGTTTTATCCAAACTCAGATGTGATAGATGCATAAAGTACAGGCCTTTAGAAAGTTAATTATGAAAAAATGAATATAGGTTAAATGCTTACACTAATTACATGCTGTGATGGTAATATTTTTGATATCCGGGGTTACACAAAATCCACCCTTGAAGCTACTGTCCTGTTTAACATGAATGTGGCTGATAGCAAAGATCAAACGATGCCTGTGTGCTGTTATCTCTGTTGGGCCATATTCTACTGGATGTTGAAATCATCTCCCTCTTGAACTGTGTTGTGGTTTAAACACGAACTGTTTTGCAGAACCTTATGTGTTTGAGTGCTTGGTCCCCCTCTGGTGGTGCTATTCGAGGAAGGTTGTGGAAGCCGTAGACGTTGGAGCCTCGTTGGAGGAAGTGGGCCAGTGAAATGGGCCTTGATTTTGTCTAGCCTGGCCCCACTTCCTGTTCACTGTCTGTTTCCTGGTGGCAGACACAATGTGACCAGTGACACCCATCACCCCCTGATGCCATATCGTCTCTATCATGATGAATTAAAACCTCTTAAACTCTAAGACAAATAAACCCTTCCTCCTCAAGTTGCTTCTTGGTAGCTATTTGGTTACAATGACAGAAAAAAAAATAAATAAAAAGTCACTAACATATAAACTGCTATTTTCTTCATGCCTAGGCACTAGGTAGACTCTTAAATTCCTCTCCTGGCAGGAGTGTGGAAAAAAAGATATTGACAATATAAAAAAGAGCAGACAAACCACAGATCCAGCCAGGAAACCCCTGGCTGTCTACTGCTTGAGCAAATGCATACAGTAAACACGGCTGACAAATGAACTACAGGTAGAGGAGCCAATTTTCAAAGTGGGGAAACTTGTTGTGATGATCACAGTAGCCAAGGTAATATTCAGCCAAGGGTCTTTGCTGCAAACAACAGAAACTGTGGCCACCTGCCACACAAAGTGACCTGGGAAGCAGTCAGGGTGTGGTCCATGAATGATGCGGAGCCCTAAGGATGTGGCTTAAAAAAACTGGTTAGAGACAAAGAACAGAAAACCCCATCACCCGACCCGGGCTTTCAGGTTAGGATGCTGCTGACCCCACTGTGCCGGGAGTCTCTGTGGCACCACCTCCCCTGGATTCCTGGGGTCCCAGTGTGATTTTTCCACTCTGTAATTTCTGGTCACCCTTCCAATGCCAAAGGGCAGTTTGGACTGACTGAAGGAGTCTGGTGACCCTGTTGAAAGCAGGAAGACAGAGACTCTCGTTTCTTCATTCTCGAAGGAGGCATCATTCTGCCTCCCAACACTCTTACCATGGGGATTCAGTGATAGGTCTGGATGATTATAGAACCAAAACCCAGAGCCAAAGCAAGGCTGGTGAAAGGCCTCGGCGGGGGAAGGTGCTCACCAGCGTGCTCGATGACCTGAGTTCAATCCCTAGGACGCATGTTGAAGGAGAGAACCTCTGGCCTCCACATGTGCACAGTGTCAGGGATGGCCAACCCCCCAAATAAACAAACATCTAATAAAAAAAGTATAGAAAAAGGATAAACAGCATTAAAACAAGACAACACAAAAAAGTGCACCCAGTTCCCACTCAGTAATAAATCCAGACCAATACAAAAACAGAAACCTATTTATTTCTGGATTTGCTGAGATGTGAGAAGGGAGGAACACTCATGTACCCTTAAGAAAATGCCCAGTGGGCAATGGACAATTTATTCCACGTGGTAGACTCTTCCCTCCAAACCATTTTCACTGTTATCTAATGCTCCAAGTTAAGATTTCCATC